GGTACCTCCACATGCCAAGCGAGTTTACGCGAGTTCCAGTCAATGATATAATCATCTTATAGGGAAAAAAAGAAGAACAAAAATCGTTTTATTCTTTTTTACGAAAAGTGGTGGAGAATCCGGGTATCGATCCCGGTACCTCTCACATTATTAAATTTTCACATGGCTTATTTTATTTACAAGTTAAACTTTTTTATAATTTAATTAGTTATATTTCTAATAAGGTTTAGTGTATTTTGTAAAATTATTTAGTGTAATTATGAATATTAGAAATAGATTGTTTACTTTAATAAAGAGTGGAAAGCTTAAATTTGTCTCTTTCTGGTTGCATTTATACAGGTTGGGTAACATCTCCACTCCCCAACCATGGCCGCCGCTCTGGTCCACAAAATTTAAAAGGAATTATTCAATAAAAAGAGCAAATAGCGAAAATGAGCCATCCCGGTACCTCCACATGCCAAGCGAGTTTACGCGAGTTCCAGTCAATGATATAATCATCTTATAGGGAAAAAAAGAAGAACAAAAATCGTTTTATTCTTTTTTACGAAACATATTACAGACGAAAAGTATCTTCTTACCCTCTTCTTACTGTATTACTCAACTCCATCATTTTTAACAATTATCATTTTAATCTTGTTGTCATAAAACTACTGCTACTTTGTGGATGTATTGAAAGTAATCCAGGTCCATCATTTTTTTCTAACATCACTATTGTGCATAATAACGTTTGTAGTTTGTTGCCAAAGATTGATCTTATTGATGCAGAGATGTCAGAAAATGATATAATAGCAAAACACATTTAGACGACAATATTAGTAATGAAGAAATTTTGATAAATGGTTTTCATGCGCCAATCAGAAAAGACAGAAATAGACATGGAGGTTGTGTAGCTTTGTATGTATCTACTAAATTAAATTACATTTTGAGAAATGATATAAATGATCCTAATATTGAAGTATTATGGGTTGAGATTTGTACACAGAAACAAAAGTTTTTAGTTGGAGTAATCTACAGACCTCCTCATTCTAATTCTGAATATTGGAATAACTTCTCTAATACCATAGAAAAGGCTTTAGATACTGAAATGTCAATATTTTTGGTCGGAGATTTTAACGTAAATATGTTAACAGCAGGTAACAATACCTTTAAACAACTCATACAAAGGCTGAACATTTCTAATGTGGTAACTGAACCAACTAATTTTACTTCAAATACAGGGACCTGTATAGACTTAGTCCTCACAAACGATGTAAATAAAGTAGAAACTGTAAAGGTCAATGCACCAATATGCAGTTCACATTCCCCAGTCATAGTTGATATATCTTTTAAGGCCTACAAACAAAAGGCATATAAACGAACTATAAGAAACTATAACTAAGCCGACTACCAAAGCTTGAATGACGAATTGAATCACGTTAAATGGGATGAGGATGTGTTCTATTGTGAGAATATTAATGAAGTAAATAATAATTTTAATTTAAAATTGATGACCTTAGTTGATAAATATATCCCTACGAAAGTCATTACTGTCCGACCCTCTGATAAACCTTTTATTACGAACGTAATTCGTAGAAAAATGAGGAAAAGAAATAGAATACATCATAAAGCAAAACAAACAGATAATCCTAATCACTGGAAAAAAGTTAGAGAAATTCGTAATGAGGTAGTCAAATTAGTACGAAAAGCTCGAAATGATTATAAAGTGAAACTGGCCTCTCAACTTATCGATAAGACTATTCCTCCAGGTAAATGGTGGCGAATTGCTAAATCTGTCTCAAGATTTAAAAAACAAAATACTTCCCTTCCTCCTCTGAAATCTAGAGATGGTAGGATATTTGTTCATCCAATTGATAAAGCAGAAGAATTTAATAACTATTTTGTAAATATTTCACACATAAACACTGAGCCTGATCTCCCTGAACATGGACCAGGTCCTCCAATTAATTGCTTTGATGATTTTGAAATTACTGAGCAGGACGTTCTTGATCAATTATCAATCTTAGATACCTCTAAACCACCAGGACCAGACGGCTTATATCCAAGAATCCTAAAAGAAACACGGTTCTCTATTTATAAACCAATAACAAAACTTTTCAACATGTCACTCAGTAAGAAATGTCTACCTTATTTATGGAAACAAGCACATGTTTCCCCAATCTTTAAAAATAAAGGAAGCCCCGACAATGCTAATAATTATAGGCCCATATCTCTTACAAGTTCTGTCTGTAAAGTTTTGGAGAAAATACTTTTCAAATATATGTACAATTATATAAAAGACTACGAATTGATATCAAAAAATCAATCTGGGTTCCAACCAGGGGACTCTACAATAAATCAACTAGTGGATATATAAGATAAAATTATGTTTAATCTTGACAAAGGCCGAGACATAAGATTTGAATTCTGTGATATTTCAAAGGCCTTTGACAGGGTCTGGCACAAAGGACTTATTTTTAAACTTAAAAACTTAGGCTTTAAAGATAATATTTTGGGATGGATTAAAGATTACCTTACTGACAGACAACAAAAAGTAAATGTAGAAGGCTTTTCCTCAACCTTTAAAACTGTTGATGCGGGAGTACCCCAAGGGTCCGTGCTAGGCCCATTTTTATTCTTATTATACATTAATGACATTACTGAAGGCATACATAATGAAATTAGATTATTCGCGGATGATACATCATTGTTTGCAATAGTTGACACTGATATTAATACTCCTACATCATCTCTTACAACCGATCTTGATAAAATAAAGAAATGGTCAAACTCTTGGGCAGTAGACTTCAATGCTGATAAAACAAAAAAAATGTTAATTTTACAAGAAAGCAACGACTTTTCTCAGACATTCATTTTGGTGAAAACGGAAAAATTATTGAACAATCTAATAGTCATACACATCTAGGACTCCTATTCCAATCTGATGCTAGCTGGAATAATCATGTTTCTGCTATTTACGAAAAAGCTTGTAAGAGATTAAATATTTTAAGACTTTTAAAGTACACATTAGATAGAAATTCTTTAATTAAAATATATCTAGCGTTTATTAGACCGGTCCTTGAATACGCCGATGTAGTATGGGATAATTGCTCACAAGAAAATGCAGAATTGTTAGAAAAGGTCCAAGTAGAAGCCGCAAGAATTATTACTGGTCTTAGAGTAAATTCCTCAAGATCTAATCTATATGACGAACTCGGCTGGGAGCCATTATGTCAGAGAAGAACAAACCATAAACTAATATTATTTTATAAAATGTTCCATGGTATTGCTCCTAATTATCTTAACGAATTAATACAGCCCTTCCAACCAGTGCAACACTCTTATAGTTTGAGATCAGATGGTAATAATCTTACTTTACCATTATGTAAAACTGTATCATACTATGAAAGTTTTATTCCTTCAACTATAAAACTGTGGAATAATCTTAGTTCTGAAGTGAAAATGTCTCCTTCTTTATCGATTTTCAAGTCAAAATTAAACCAACCTTTTAGCAGTTGTAAATGCTTCAACTATGGAAGCAGAAACGAGAATCTACTTCACTGTCAACTACGTTACAAAGCTAGTAATCTTTATGCACACCTAAAAAATCATTATATAATAGACGATGCATCTTGTCCGAAGTGTAATTACCATACAGAAGATAATGAACACTTTTTTATGGATTGTCCAGCATATAATATTCAAAGAAATAAAGTAAGAAAAAACTTAAATGAGCTTGATGTACCTTTTGATCTAAAAATTCTTTTACAAGGGAGTTCGGAGTATTCGTTCCAAACGAACCTCAATATTATAAAAAATGTACATGAATATATCAAGTTAACAAAACGTTTTTAATCATATTTTCTTTTTTGATATGCACTCTTGTCACTTTATACATGTTTATATTTATTATACTTATTTTGATCTGGATCTGTGCGAGTCAGGGTGTGGTTGCGTGTGTGAGTGAGGGTGTGTGTGTGAGTATGTTAGAATGCGTATGTGAGCACTCATATCATAATATGAATTGTAATTATTTACTCTGTTCATTGTATTGTTACCATAACCTGTTATATAGAGAGGGTATTTATAGGCTTAAGCCTGTTGCCCAATCTATTCAGTTTACTGAATAAATATTGTCTAAATCAATAATCATAATTATTTACTATAGAATATTAATTTATTTTTCAACTACACGCGGTAACAAAAACATGTTTGACGGCAATTAAAATTATGTTATTATGATATCGATTTAAACATACGTATGTGGAGAATTTTATTTTTATTATTTATTTATCTATTTATTTCTCTTTTGTTTATCTGTTGTTTATTTGTATTTATTTATGACATTTAAATTATAGCATAAAAGAATGATTTTAATGCAAGGAAAAGACCAAAGGCATTCGGAATAAATCGTTCATTTTGCGTTCACCGTTCGTTCACCGTTCACTTTGCGCTCGCGTTCGCGCTCCGTTCGCGTTCTGCGTTCACTCACCGTTCACACTTCACACATCGTTCACCGAGTTGCGTTCACCGTTCGCACATCGTTCACTCACCGTTCGCTCTGCGTTCGTTCAGCGTTCGTTCACCGTTTAGGCGGGAAAGTAGAACGTTTCAGGGACTGTAAGTAACCAATTGCACTGCCGACATTTGTGCAGCAATATCTTAAATCTTTGGAATATCCTGCGTCTTTTGATACCTTGTTTCTGTAAAACAAAGTAAGGTATGCCCTTGCGCCGAAGCGATTTTGTTGATGTTTTTTATAAACTTGTGTAGTACAGGTCGATGACGTCATAATATGACGTCATAATGTGTACTGGCTATCGCATGTCTTGGGTACAAAGAATGTATTAGAAAACAAGTCTTAGCATTTTCTGTGCGGTATGTAGAGCAATTATGGAATTTAATTAGATATTTCGTACAGAAATTTCCATATGTAGCCTTAACTCACATGCATAATAATGTATGATGTTGGCATTGCATGACAAAAAGATGCAAAACATTAATTTTTGTTTCTTTTTTCGTAGAAATTGAAGAGATCAGCAAGAGTAAAAACATCAATAAGACAAAAAGTAAGGTCGAAAATTTTCCTCTGATTTGATATTTTAATATTAATTTCCAGATAAAATTATTGACATTAGACAAAATCAACAAAGTCGGAAAATAGAAAAACAAGTGGTGTATTAAGAATAAAAATGACTTTGTAAAAAAAAAACATGAACTCATGCACATGTACGAGCGCTTTGCTCTGATTAACTGAAAGAAAAGTCTCACTGTTTTTTTTTTTTTTTTTTTTTGCTTTTTTGGCAAAATACTGTGCAATATAATACATAGTCATACATAATGAGGTTTTAGGGCATGATTAATATAAAAGTTATCACGAGAATACGTACAAGCCCGTGTTTTGCAATCTGAGTGGCTTAATCACTAACTGCCATAACTTCTTGGTTTTCAACCAGACAGAATGTTTAAAATATATATAGGTAAAAAGAAAATTTTACATTTTGGATCTAAAAAACATAAAAGGACATGCATACACACACACACACGCACAATGCATAAAATAATCAAAATAGTTGATATAGCCGTAATGTTTTAAGTTATTGATAAAATGTTTAAAACAAGGGAAAATTGTGCATTAAATGTGTAGACAGAATGTCATTGTTATCATGCATGAAGATGCACATGCGTGAACGTACGATGTTGAAATGAATAAAATATATTTGTACAACTGTCACTGTTAAATTACTTCTGAAATGCTTTGATACATAGAATATAGAAATATATATATATGAATATAGAGGACAACATGTTTACGAATTGATACATGTACTAGTATTTATTATAGCCGTAACTTATATATTTTTTGATGAAATGTTTTGATACTTAGAATTTGAGGCTTTTTTATATATAGACATCAATTATATTCAACGATGGTAAAAAAAATTTGAAAGCCTTATTTAATGAAGTTTAAAGGATATGACACAAATTGAAGTTCTGAAGCGTTTGGGGAATATCTGTAACAGTCTCCGTTCAATTATGACTAATGAAATATATCAAAGAATGTACAAAAATAATTAAATTTGAAGAAATTGCATTTAAGACGATTTTGTTAGTAAAACATTGGAATTTTTAGCAATACATTCACTTACAAGATGTTTAGTCTATGTATCAGAATGTATACTTTTGCCAATAACAAAAGCATTTGACAAAAAATTTAAGCATTTATATGTCGTTTTAAGTTTTTTTGTATTTTTTTCATCTATGAGTCCTTGTTAAGTTTTACTTTTTTGCTCAAATTTTTCACAGTTTCTTGTCTAATCGTTTTGTTTTTTTTTTGTTATGTATACATTTTGTATTTATTCATATGAAAGTGAGTTTAAAAGGTGTAAAGGAACATTCAATGTATCTAAAATCAAAATTATTTGTATAAAATTTTGCTTAAAAAGGGACAATTGTAACATTAAAATCCATGCACATTTAGAATAATTTATCAACTATCTCTTCCTTTATATGCAATCCAATATATACACTAATCAACAAAAATCAAAATAAGAAGATATTGTTTCTGCCAAACATTGCCCTGTTTTTACAGTATTTTTATTCTTGTATTCTTTAACGATATATGTGTGACGAAAACCGTGCACATGTAAATCTGGCGCAATGATTTCTATGACTTTTAAAAATGTTTTTTATTTATTGTATTATTGTTAATGTTGATGATTATATTGTTTTTGATAAGTAATTTAATAGAGCTGTGGATCTAACATAACAATATTTTCCCCATGTACGACTTAGATATCACACAAGGTATGATGGAGATATAAGAAAGGAATAACGTTATATGAGCAAGTTAATAGAATTCACAGGTGCTGATAATGTCAAAGAACTCTTTAATCTTGGTAGGTATATTCTAAAAGCGTTTGATATATGCAACTCTCAACAATATATCTATAAATGTAAACTTTTCAAGCACATTGTATTTGTTACTTGTGTAAAATTATTTTGTATCATTATTGTTAAATAATTCCTTTCATACATTATTTTTTCATTCATCTCTTTGAAGTATTTGAACAATCGTTCATTACCTTTATATTGTTTATATTTTTATACAATTTGTAACATTCCATTGGATGTTCATCTTAAGAAATAAATTACAATAGTTTCAAATTTTTTTATGTTTCCTTATTTAAAGTCTCCCTTAATTGTCTCTCATTAAGGACAGATGATACAAACAAACTTTTGTCAAAGAATTTGAAAATAACCACATGGGTCATGTTTAGGTGAACAAAATGAATTACTTTCACCGCAAAGTTTTTAATTTTTTATTCAAATTTGAACAAAAATGGTATTAAAGTGAAATATATTTGTATAGATTATTAAGACTTTTGAACATCACAGAATATATACAATTTCTGTATATTCTAAAAACATGTTATTTGAATCATTTGCAATGAAATAAGCCAAAAAATATATACCAATCCAGGCATCTATTTTTTGCTTGTATCATCTGTCCTTACTACTTGTATATCATTATATCCCCCGATTGAAAAGTGTGAGGGTATTTAATGATTGAGATGTCAGTCCGTGTAGCTGTACGTTTGTCTGTCAATCCGTTCGTCTGTTAGGCTTTGGGATATCCATCTCATATCCGCAGCTCTTCATACCACTTGATGAATTTTAATGGAACTTTTACACTGTATCATAATACAATCTTGGTTATATAGTGCCTTTGTTAACCTATATTACTTTCTGACCTGACACACGTTTTTGGATTCTCATTCTTATATGATTACATAAGAATATACATAATCTCAGATTTTCTTTAACCATTTGCAGAAAGTAAATACTAGCGGTACTGGGCGAAAAATATGCTGAAAAAAAACCCAAAATGTCACTGATAAATTTGATAATTACTAAATCATACCAACTTTGACATACTCCTTAACCACCTTAAAACTAGAAGAGCTCCTTTCTTTCGTAATCATAAATTTATAGAATGTAGTACATCTTAATTTCCTTTTTCTGGCCATTGTGTCCGTAAGCGTGCATCAAATGAATTAACATATTTTTTTTTCTTTGCTTTTATCTTTTTTCTTGTTTCGTCATTTTTCTGGACCCACTACTTTATGCAAAGGACTCTGACTTCATTCTCAAATTATTACAAAACAAATAAAAAATCCATCATGTGTGCAAATGTATCAACATTGTTCATGGCATGGATTAAATAGCAATCCCAGTTTTTTCTCTGTATAACCTGGATTTGGGCAGTTTTTACCTAATAAACCGCGAAATGGTTTATCAACAAGCGTAAATTTACTGCTCCAATCCGGATCATAGCAATATGACTTGAATTTCTATTTAATTCACTCCTTATGATTTAATTTTCAATGAAAAATATAGGAGACAAGACATTTTTTTTCTTTTTCAAAAAACGTCTTAAAATTCTTCATATTTTAAACGTAACGTCCAGCGGATGATTGATATGTTTTTGACGCAAGTCATTGGAACAATAAAGATTATTTTTTTTCCAATCAAATGACTGTTACATGTTCATCTAACATTAAAGAAAAATAATTTATTAGAGAGGTTTAGCAAACCAACGTGTACGTTTACGTGTTGCATCAGAAATTTGTGCGTTACGTCATCACGATTGCTAATGACAAATTTCTTCACGTTTTCTCTTACGCAGGTTACGTGTAGATTGCGAAGTGCACGTAAGTCAAAACTTGTAGTTTATAATTCTTTAACTTCTGTTTTTTTCTTTCAAAAGGTGTGTGTTTTTCTAAAACCTGAATATTTGATGCTGATGCAAATACTGAAAAAATACTTGAATGTCAGTAATTGAAAAAAAACATTAATTTATAGGGAGTTAAAATCACAACATCTAGATTTTCGAAACAGGCTTTGATTGATTAAAAATATAAGAAATCTCTACAATCTTTTTCTCATAAATACAAGCATATATTTATGTAAAACGGTCATATACGTATTAAATTCATTGTTTTTTTTTTTTTTGGATAATTTTTAAATGTGAACCACTTTTACATGTAAAAACTTACAAGTACAAGTACAGGTTAATCTTTGCTAAACAAGAAAAAAGTGATAACGTGCACGTGTTATTATAACTTGTGAGCCCACTAAACCTCTCTATTGATTCACTCCAGAGCCTTTAAAATTTAAAGCTCCATTACATTATTTCAAGGTTACTGAAGAACTGCGCGGGTATGTTAAGGCAACACATGGACCAAAATTCGGCGAATTAAGACTTTTAATAATTATGTAACACTAATATATCGGAAAAGTCAAGCATAAAACTTTTGTTATAATTATGCATTCTATAGACTTTAATGGGATTTATAAAACATGTTGTACTTCAACATGACGTCACCACGTGACGTCTATAATTAGAAAATATGCCTTAATGAAAAAGTAAAAAGTTCAACACTACCCCGGGGATAATTAATTTCAATTTGTAATTATAATTATGTCAAAACATCCCTGTACCACGAAAAGTGCTGCTAGAATCCTACTGTCCTATCTCAGAAATAATAATTCAACACTTTCTAACGAAACCTTCCCAAAATTTTTACATTTTGTTCATAACATCGAAAAAATGCATTAATTCCCGTAAACCATACGATTCTAGCAGCACTTTCCAAAAACAATAGAATAAGAACTTTAGATAGAAATAAAAATCAAGTTTCAAAGTGTGCGGCGTAGTGTTGAACTTTGCATCTTATTTGTTACGAACGACAGAAGAAAGGCTGATCGGCAAGTAAACACCCTCCTTGCTTTAATTTTACGAACAAAATGTTGAAGTATATTACCCTACCTTATTCATAAGCTTTATTCCCACATGAATCACACAAGATATTCATTCTAAATGCTTTCAAACTTCGATTTCTTGTGTTTATTTACATGAATTCTCATAACGTTTCACTTTCACTCTGCTACTGCATGATCAACAGTTATGACGTCACGGGTTTGGTAATTAACCCTTGTGATAACTACAGAGACCCAGAAAAGACAAAATTCTGTTTGTATTATGCCTCTGCATTTTTTGATTATTTTTTACAACCTCAAATCAATCTTAGACATCGATAATAAGAAATTGTTATCTCTAAACTTCACGTCATATAGCTTACTATGACGTCATATCATATAGGCAAGTAGAATATTTGATTGTTACCTTAACTTACCTGCATGTGTCATATTTTTTTTCTTCTGCATACATTTATACATACTAACAACTAAGTACGAGGTATGGAACTTTCTATTTCGCTATAAGCGGAATTCATTATATCTGTGAGTTTAATAATATATATCAAAATCACCTCGTTGTAAGCGTTTTAGTTATAACCGTTTTTTACTCTGCCTTTTAAAATGTATAGGCATTGTTTACATATGTATGACTTAATGCCTTACATCCCTCTTAAATAGAAATAAATTTCAAAGGAATTTAATCAATTAAAGAACATTTCAATGATTTGTTTTTCCAGAGTTTAGTGATGTGTATCGTTATAAAATCTACTCTTTCATGTTTCATATCTGAAGTCTTTTGTTAAGTCTTAATTAATTTATTTCCAAAAATGTACTTGTATCAATACTTCACAAAAGCTTGTTACATTTCAATAAAGTGCACATTAAGTTAAAAAGTTCATACATGAATTTCAACGTGCAAATGATCATATTGTCCTTCTCTATTTTCGGTATTTGTCTCATCGACTATGTCATACGCATTGTATTCTACTTTCTTTTCCAAATTCTTTTCGTTTTTGTTGTTTAGATAAAGAGCAATCTTGTAACAACTGTAAATCAAACAAAACCCTAAGAGCATCAGGACTATGCTCAGCGTACAAATTATTACTACTTGAATCGCAATGGACAAACGAGACCATTCGATTTTTTCATTGGACATTCTGATCGAATCCATCACTGTTGTTGCATCAGATTCAATTTTGGTACCCAAAATGTTAAAAGATGTTTTTTGTTGAACTGTAAAGTTTGAAGTGACGTGAACTGAAAGAGAAAAAAAAATAAATAATTGGATGCTATTGATAATAATTAATACGACTTCAAAAAATGAAATATATAATTTTTTTCTATATTTGAATAAAAAATTATTGTACATATCCAGCAAATCCCTTTAATATAGAGAAATTGTAGAGAATTTCAATCTTCTACCCCAATTATTTAATAAAAAAATATTGTTTGCTTGCTAATTTCTGATATTGCTTATATTTTAAAGAAGCATGGACACCGTTTCAGTTGAAAATTCAAAATTTATTTTTTTTTTCCATTTTTACAAATATTTAACTTGGGTCTTTCTAATGATCATCAAATATTTGAACGCCAGTTGTCCTTTTCATAAAAAAAT